CAGTCCATATGTGTTTGTATAAACTTTACTTTCTCCAAAATTTTGATCTCAGCATTCCATGTGAAAATAGTTTCAAAGATGAAGAAACAATTCTGTCTGCCTGTCTTCTCATTGACTTTGTTACCATCCATGATTTTCTGCTGTCTGGATGAGACCAAGTGTGTCCATACAAGGAATATCTCTGAAGTACTAATGCCTCCTTACTGAAGTTTACACTTTAAGCAGTTTTTCTACACTTATTAATTCTTGGTATAACTTAACATGATTATTTACAATTAAAAGATTAAATATCTAGCTCCTAAGTCAAACTGATGTTTCAATGAATCCTGCACACTTATTAAGAAAAGGTTATTTCAATTATTACAATAAACCATCAATTTTTTTTAATATTTTGGCTCTTCCAGTATTCTGTCTAGAAGGCTTACAAAAGCTGCATTCTGCCTGAAATTCTAAGCTTAGCTGTTGTTCAAAAATGACACAATGCCCCACTTTTATTTTAAATAAATTATACATGCTTACAAAATGAAAACAATATGAATTTGAAAAACTGGAAAATATTTGCAAATATAAAAAGCCCTCTTTGAATGTAAGTGACAGGATTAAACATCATTTTTCTACATATACAGTGTGACATTTTCATTTTATCCCAAACTATTTTATTTTCTGTGTGACTCTGGAGTTTGTAAATAAGCCATAATGTTTGGTCATTACATAATGATGATTTCATGGTTCTAGCTTAGTATAAAGGTGGTTAGACACAGCAGCAAAATCAATTTCTTTTTCATCTTTGTGGGAAAAGACAAAAGGAAATTGAATGCAAAATCTGCATTAAAGACCATCTTAGAATTCTAGTTCAACAATCTGTTACACCTGATGTGAAAACAGGTGTAGCCAAGTGTAGTTACCACGCTATGATAAACAGCCAGCAGGCTGAACAACAAGAAGAGTGCTTTGTGTTACCCTTGCCTTGTTTTGTTACCCGCAGTGTTCCAAATGCATATGACCTGACACTATCTCCTACTGTCTCCTCTTACCAAAGGTACTCAGAGGCAGCAATGTCCCTAAGCAAAATCGTAAAGTAGGTGAAACTTGTTTTCATTCCATACCCTTTTGTAATGACAGTCTCACCTTAGATCTTGCCACACCCTTATCCCTAGATTTCTTGTCCAATTTCTCAGTGTCTGGATTTGTACTTTGCTTTCCAGAGGGCTCATACTGTCTCCTGGTAGCCAGTGCCTCATGATTTTAGACTTCCTTGCCCAGAAATATTCAGTGGCTCCCCCAGAGGAGCTGGGCAGTCCAGGTCTTCCCACCTTACCTTCTGAGTCCTATGTCCCACTATCCCCTTCACTCTTACTTCCTACTCTCCTCCTCTACTGCAAACTGATCATCCCTCTTGCCATTATTACTTACACAGGGCCATTCTATTTCTTTCATCTGAGCTGGCCTTTACTTCTCTTCTCACCTCTCAAAGTTTGTCTCAATTGTACCCCCTCTGCATACCTTACCTGACCATCCCTAACCCTTCTGCACCTCACCCATAGCACTAACATGGCTCTTAACCCATATGGCTTTGTATTATAATATTTATGGATGTGTCTTGTCTCCAGGCACTGTGCCAGGCACTGTACAATGTAATCTCATTTAAATTTCACAACAATCCAGTGAGGTAGGTATTGTACCATTTAACAGTTGAGGAACCTGAGGCTCAAGTACATTAAATAATTTACCAAAGGTCTCACTGCAAGAAAGAAAAAGAGCTAGGAACTGACCCAACTTGTCTGACTCCAAATCACACATGCTTCCCACCATCCCTCACTTTTATCTGTTCCACTGGTTCTGTCTCATCTCTGAAAAATAAGATGAAGCCTTGAGGTGCAGGAAAAGCCCATGTACAGCTTTGGAGTAGAACATATTTACCAAAGAGACAGAGTTTATTGATAATTATTTTTTGCTAGGTCTAATTCGCTAACTAGAATCTATGAGGAATAAGTAAAATGTGAGAAAACATCCTCGGCTTAGTGGTAGAACAAGTAAGCATGGCCTGTGATGTCTACATCAGTTTGTAATCTAAGAAGAGCTGGGGAACTTGCTTTGTCTCTGAGCACTGTTGGAGAAAGTGATGCTGAGTAGAGAATGTGATGTTGAATACACAAAACTTCGTATAAATCCCTAATTTAAACGATCTGGGGTAGGCAGGAGCCTGAGGATATGATTACCATGCCAAATACCTCAGGAACTAGCCCTGTCTCTGTTGAATGTAAAGCCCCTTTATTTTTTCATCCTGTTTATAATGTGGCACCTTGGATACATTATCAGAGAGAAATAAAGTGTTTCTAGGAGGAAAATCTTCTCACAAAAGAATAGCTTTTACCGCTGCTCTCTCCAGTATCCAGGATTGTAGAGTTTCAGCTCAGCCCTGAGCCACTCTATTCTGGGGAGTGTTTGGCCCAGGGCCAGGTTCCCTCCCACCAGTCACAGAGCAGATGCCTCATTCCTGGGGAGAGTTGATGCTTAAGGTCTCTGTGAAGTTTCTGTTGTTAGTATTGTTGTTGTTTGGTGTTTTGTTTGTTTTTGTGGTACTCAGGATGGAACCAAAGGCCTCATGCACGCTAGGTAAGTGCTCTACCACTAAGGTACATCTGCAACCCTTTTTAATGTTTTCTTTTCCTTTCTTTCTTTTTTTGAGACAGGGTCTCACTCAAATGCCCAGGCTGGCCTTGAACTTGTGATCTGTCAATCCCTGTATTGCTTTTCACCAGACACAAAAACTTCCATTTCTGTTATCTTATCAACTTCTCACTTTCCAGTGTCCCAGTCTGTCATGTGTCATTAGTTGCATATTTCTTTAATATGAATGGGATCCTTGAGGTTAAAGGGGTCACGCAGTTGTCATTAAACATGTGCCTTGTAGATGCTTCTGCTGACCTCTGGCAGTCATTTCCAGTTTGTTTGCAAATACCACTGCAATTTTTATGTATTCTCCTTTTATGCCAGTTCCACTCATACATAGCTCTGCGCTTTTGTTACTCATACCAATCTTAATAACAGCATATTATTAAATTCATTATTCTTTAGAGAAATTAACTTTGAATGCAGTAGGCCCTAATGTGTGTCAGTCCCTGTGAGAGGCAGCATAAGAATTTTCATTTTAGTTGTGTATTAAATCCAAGTAATTCAGAGAGCCCAATAGCAAAATGACTTCAACCACTCTGAAAAAAAAATTAAAACCTCAAACCTGAAATTTCCTTTTGTTTTTCCTTAAAGATTTTTATGTTTTTTTTTTATAATCTATAAAGCCTTCAATGCTCATTCAATTGTCCCCCATCTTTATATTTTGAAGTAATACAGATACATAGGATGTAGGAAAAAATCGCAGAGTCCTACATAACTCTGTCTCCATTGCCAGTAGTTATATATTAATTATAGTACACTCTCAAAGCCAAAATTTGATGTTGTTATAAAACATTTTAAAACTTTAAAAAACATAAATTATTCCACCCTATGAATAACTGGCACAGTTTTAAATTCCATTCTATACTTCATTGCTATTCACAAGTGATAATAATGCAAACAGTCTGGGAAAAGAGAAAGGAAGAAAGAAAGAGAAAGAAAGGAAGAAAGAAAGGAAGAAAGAAAGAGAAAGAAAGGAAGAAAGAAAGGAAGAAAGGAAGAAAGAAAGAAAGAAAGAAAGAAAGAAAGAAAGAAAGAAAGAAAGAAAGAGAGAGAGAGAGAGAGAAAGAAAGAAAGAAAGAAAGAAGAAAGAAGAAAGAAAGAAAGAAAAAGAAAATGTGCTCATAAATTCACAGAGAACTTTATGTCACATTGGTAGAGATGATACTTGGCTCTCATCAAACCCTAGCTCAATGTCACAGCAAAGGAGTGAAAAGGAGCCCACCTCAGAAAACCCGCATTAAAATCTGACACTGCCTCCACATATATGACCTTGGGCAAGTTACTTGCACTTTCTAAGCTTTAGTGTCATCATTTATAAAGGGGAGAAAATATTTCTCCTGCCTACTTCATAGGGTTGTTGTAAGGTCCAAATGTGCTATTGTACAAGAGAGGCAGGCAGGCGGTGAATCAGCAATTAGGAAGTTATATTTCTCTCTGAAAACACTGGCACTTACAAAAGTATAAATTATCACCTGACATTAGCCATGTGGACTAGAAGTTCCATTACATGTAAATGGCCTTCCCTTACTACCAGTATTAGTAGGGTAAATACTAGCAATTTATTGAAGAAGCACTTTGTGACTAACTACCTACACCCCTGAGGCATAGGATGTATTTTAAAATAAGTATTTCCTAACAGTTTCTTCTATAAAATCCAAAGTATTTTAAGTAACTTTTATTTTTATGCTGACTGAAAAATTTACTTTTACTTTTTATCTGTTTTTTTTTTTGTCTTTTTGAGACAGAGTCTCACTTGTGCAGTTCAGGCCAGCTGTGAGCTCACTTTGCAACCCAGGCTGGTCTCGAACTCACAACGATCCTCCTGCGTCAGCCTCCCGAGTGCTGGGATTATACGCGCTTTTACTTTTTATCATTCCATGAAAGGCACAATTGTTGTTCTTGACAATAGTTAGAAAATATTATTATTATTATTCATTTTGCGGGGGGGAACCAGGAATCAAACTTAGGACCTTGCACTTGCCAGGCAGGCACTGTACAGCTGAGCTATATTCCTGGCCCAATGGTGAAAAATTATAAGGACATTAAATTAGACAGTGGATGGTTTATGAAACATAAGTGGAAATCATCCAAATTCCACAGTTCCTTGGTTTGCCAGGACCCTATTATGTAAGCTCTCAACTCACTGGTGGATTCTGGTTTGTGGATAGTAAAAATGCTAGTTTTGACAGTAAGATATATATAGATATGTATCTATATATATACCGAAAATCATGGAAAGTAAAGTCAAACTCTTTGAATTAAATGTTTTGGTATCACAGTAAAAATGTTGAGATCTCTCTTCTCCCCTCTTCCCCCATGTACAGGCTGGCATGGCTCTGACCTATGACCCCACAGCTGCCATACAGAACGGGTAAGTAGACCGTATTTGTTCAGTTTTAATTGCCAAGAGATCTTTGAGCTCCGAATCAGTATCAGAGAAAAATATTTAAATACATTTTGCTTTTGTGTAACATTTTTAAACTAAAATATTAAGCCAAACACTTTTTACCATTTCACTTCCTTCCTTCCCGTAAATGATCCTCCTACCTGCCAACATTAAATTCTTCCCTCTCCCTTGTCCTGTCTCCCTTTCTTCTCCTATGCCCCTGTCCAAAATGAGGCAGCATGAAGGACTGATTCCAAAGAGAGAAAATAGATAAAGTTCAGCCGAAAGAATTACCTGTGTTTCTCCAGGGCAAGAGTATTGCCTCTGCAAATCTCCACAGAATCCAGCTTTCAATAATTTCTAGTGTGCTCCCAGGTTAAATTGTACGCTGATAATGCTTTCCACTTTCCTTCTCGTGGTCAGTATAATGTCAATGGTCAGAAATCAGGACAGTAACTCGGGTGATTATATCTTTATTCTTCAGTGAAATTAGCATATGGAAATTTGTGCCTATTACTTAGTTTTTAATTCCTCCTGTAAAACATGTCTGTTAAACTATGTGGTCTGCCCTATCTAAAACTGCATGACTGAATATTTTTAGTTGAACCTTTTCCTCCCTCTCACTTTCATTTATTTATTTATATCTATTTTTTGCTTTGGCTGTCTTGCGTCTGACAATAATTATTTGCTGCTTGCTTGCTTGCTTTTAACAGCCCTTTATGGTGGATTTCCCCCGTGGCTTTCGTCCTGCTGTCTTTCAGTCTCAGTAAAGATTAAATCATGATGAAGGCCTCATTGGAGATCAATATAGGGGGTGCAATGAGTTTAATTCCATTTTTCTATTTGGTCAGTGACCTGAAATGAAAATCTATGGGATGTTGAAGGCGTTATAATAATCGCTTCTGATTTTTGTTATTCTGCCACTTATTTATCTATTCCTGAGTGGGCATCCAGTGAGCGTACCAGGCAGAGTTCCACAAAATAGCCCTAAGGGTAGTGTCCAGCACAAGGTCCTTTCCCTGAAGAAGTTCAAAGTCTCCTTTCCCTAAGGAGTAATCAGTGGAAGTAGACCAGTGTAGGAGTCTAGTCCTTTTCCTTCAGTTCATTTGATTCATTCCTTCAATAAGCAAATAACTATCTAAAAGTTTTGTGTTCAGAGCACTCCACTAAGGACAGGGAATATACTAATAAATAAAATAGGCCTCCTCTTTGCTCTTTTTTGTTTTCTATTATAGCAATAGAAATTAACTAACATTAAAAAGTTTTAATTATTTATTCACCATGCGTGCCCCAAGAAGAACTGCAGGGTGTTAGGAAAAGGCAGACTTCGTGTGTGGTTAAGCCAAGACTTTTCGGAACAATGTCTTGAGCTGCGCTTAGATAACTGTGCTTGGATAGCTGCGCTTAGATAACTGACTGGATGTTACATTTGATGCAAAAGAGAGAAAAACAAAAAGAATGGCTCTGAAATTTTTATCCTAGAAGGACTGGAGCTACTATTAGCAGAAAGACAAGGAAATGATGTACAGAAATTTGCTTGACTCACCAGACTCCTCAAGACAGAAAGGATTAACAGGAAGAGAATTGGAGTTAGTAAATGGTACCTTCTTACCTGTTGCTTTTCTCAGACAGTCGCTAGTGCACACTTTCAACTTCTCTGAGGACATCATTTTCCAGCTACTCATCCTTCTTTATTAAAAACCTAAAGGAGAAAACATTGGAGTTTTATCTCCTAATGTGAAGGGTGAGAGGTGAAATTGGACCAGCCCCATGTTCATCCAGTAATATCACCCAGTACTGACTGACACTTGAAACTGAAGCTTCTAGTCCTTTTCTGTTTGAATCTTACCCATTTGCCCTTTTATTGTTGTTAACATTTATATTGTTTTTAAACTTCCTTAACTCTTGGAGCTCATGACTCTGTTTATTGATGTTCTTTCTTGTTCCTCTTCTCATTGCCTTCTCAGGTTTCTCTCCTGACTCCCCCTTTTCTACACACTTCTGTTCATTTTTTCCCAAGGCTTCATCTTTACCCGCTGTTATTCCTAGCAGATCTCATCCTCTTCCCTCACTTTAGGAGCTGTGGACTCATATGTTCTTCTTCTGGTTCATAACTCACTGCAGGACTCTCACTGTGATGCTAGCTGCTAGTAGGTGGTGTCTTCATATTTCCCTCCCTGAGGCCATTGTCCTCCAGACCACATCACAATACACACCACAGTAATCTAAATGAAAAGCATATAAACACATTCAACTTATTCTTCTTTTTAAAAAATTTACTGTAAAGCCACTCAGGTAATAAACTCAAATTTTTTGGGTTCTTTCTGCTAGATTTTTCATGAAGAAATTGCTCATTAACATTTTTCAGTTTACATCTGAGCTTTATCTTCATCCCAGCCCTTCCTCCCTCCCACTGATTGAATTCATTTAAACATCCTTCTGACCTATACTAAGCCCTCTTTTAACAAGCTCTAATATAACCTTCTTCTGGACTATTTTTTAAATATTTTAAAAAGTATGTGTAATCACATGAATCACCTACCTATCTTATTTAAAGTACTGTGTGTTATTTACTAACTACTGAACGACTCAGACTCTCTGTGTAGAAATCATAGTGCTCCAGTTTGTTTAGTGCAGCTGAACGGAACTTTTTATAACTCTAACATCCCGCTAGACTCTGTGTTTAATACAGGGAATTCTTTCCACCCGAGTTCAGACATGGTGACACCCAGTCTTTACCACACACGCACACAAACTTGAAAAAAAAAAACCACTCACTTCAAGAATATTACCAAACACACCATGCAGAGCTCGTTACTTAGTTGGTTATAAGCAAAACAGTGCACGCAGTGTTGAAGGGGGCAGACTCCAGAACTGGGCTCTATCGATGTGCCTCCGAACGCTGTCATTTACTCATGTGAAACTATGGACATTATTTGTACTTTAGCTTCCTGCTTTGTGAAAGGGAGGATGATACTATCAGTGCTCTTTAATAAAACTTTGCAGGGATTAAATGAACCTGATATGGTGCAACCTAATCATTATTATAAATATTGGTGTTAGTTTTTATTATTTAGTGTTTCTAGTATACATTTGGCAGTTAGGGTTCTTATTGCACAATTATTGACCCACATATCTATTTTCCTGCTGAACTGGTAGCACAGTTATTTTCTTTCATAGATGGTGTAACACAGTATTGCAGATGCCAAATCAGACATAGGAAATATGATTGTCAGTATCTGCCTGGTTCTGTCAAGTGGACATCAGAAGAACCATTTCCCGTCCCAGGCATTAATCCAGTCTGGCCTTGTGTAACACCTTAACCTACTTTCCTAGAGATACAACCTTCAATTTCACCCCAAGTAGGAAAACTACCTATGAGTTTTTCATATCCTGAGTTAAGGATGGAATTTTGGAAGTGCTAGACTCTCCACTGTATATTGGAGACAAGATGATGGAAATATTATACCCTAGGGAAATTGAAAAGAATAAGAAGATTGTAGTTAAATAATCTTATCTATTTGCTGCTTTTTCACATTAATTTTAAACTACCTGGCTTATATTTTATTTTATTATTTTATATGGTAACATTAATTTTAAATATACGGCTTATATTTTCTTCTATTATTTTGTACGGTAACAACCCAGTAATAGTGTACTAATGAAGCAACCACTTCTATGCATGTAAGATGCCAACATAACTGCCCATATTTTGCCAGCATGCTGTTCCTTGGGTGAACAGTGACAGCTGCTATAGATGTGGAAACTGATTCAGATAGCGTACTTAGAACCCCCAAATGCATTCATGACCAAAATAATGCTTACCATTCCCTGTTCTTGTTGTTCTACTGTATTTGATCTCACAGCCATATCTAACTCAGAGAGAAGAAACCTAATAAAAAAAGAATTACTGTAGGGAGGAGGCTGGTCCAAAGATATAGTAGCAACTCACTCTAACCAAATTAGAATTGCTGATGTAGATGAGCTCCACAAACTTTTTTCTTCAATTTCTGTCTATCCTACTGTTTAAAATTATTTTGGTGATGCAGTTCAAGGAAAAGAATTTTCACATCATATCAGGGACAATGGACATGTGCCCAATTCTAATAGGAAATGGCGTGAGAGAAGTACAAAATGCTTCACCTTTAGATGTATAATTTTTTTCTGGACAAGTAAGTACACGAGAAAGAGTAGGAATCATCTGCTGTGAATAGCCAAGGGAGCACTGAGAAATTGGGGTGGGAGAGAAACTTATTTTGCAGTTTACCTTTCCATGTTTTTTTCCAAAAGAAAAATAAGGAAAATTAATTCCACTGGACAACCGAGGAGAGGCGGTTATGTTCCAGTGAAGGTGTGCAGGACTTGTGATGAGTCCTGGCCTGAGCTTGTCCTCCGACAGAGGTCCCATGGCACAGCCAAAGGCGTATGTTACAATCCTGCAGTGTCCTCTTACTGTACATTGAGAAAGAGTCTTGAAGATTGGAAGCCAATATGTGGCTTGATTGTAGTTGGTAGCTCAAACAGTGTAAAGAGGCAAATTCTCTGAATACCATAAACTCCACGTTAATAACAGCGTCATGAAATTGAAACAAAGCCTTTTACATTTAGCTTGATTGTTAACTAATGAGGAACAAACCTTTTGTAATTGGATCATAGTGAATCTGTGCTGTTTGCACTTAGTCAGTGGAAAATTTCCCTTCTGTCACCTGCCTGAGTTCACCCATATTACCACGTTTTTGCAAGAATTAGTTCAATGTCACTTGCATATAAATATTTGACAGTTAGAATGAAGGTCTGAGTCACCACGGAGAAAGAAAGACCTATATACATTCTACAATGGGCTAACGTATGCGAATAAAAATGTTCATTCTTCTTTCACATTGCTCTGGTAAAACTCTATAATCTGTTATGACTATTGCCCTATTGCTTTCTTAGCAGTCCAATATGAAATCCCATCACTTTCAAATGTAATCATCAGAGGTGGG